CTACCTATTAGTAGATATGTTTGTACTGTGTCACTACATATTAGTAGTGACACAGTACTACAGTATTACCTAACTATGATAGGTTTGAGTAGTAGTTGTTTGTGACTTAGGTGGTTCTGCCCGATACTCCTTCTACTGAGACGAGCGATGGAGTGATCCCTCCCATCACTATCACTGTCGCGCAGATTGTGGGAGAGACGGACTTGATGGTAGTTGTAGAATTAAATGTGTGTTGTGATTGGAGTGGTATGATGGTAGGTTCATGCGTGCGGGAGTGAGCAGTCGTTGGCGGTATCAGCCGTTGATGGTCCCGACACGGTAACCATCACAAATGATCAACTCTCGAGTGCCGGGCTGGGACCGGGTTCGGAGCTGTGTGTTGTGGTGAAGACGAATAAACTGTTTGCCAGCGCGTCAACGTAGGGGGAATTTTGTGGCGCGTGACGAATTTAGTGACAGGTTCTGGTTGGTGGTCTCGCAGAATCCGCAGGGACCTTTTGTTATGCAGAGTCTTCCTATGTATGCTGTGATACCGGGGAAGGGATCACAACGGGTGAGGAGGTTCCGTACCTATTTTAATAAGGGTAGTAATCCGAAGGTCCCGGGTTCGATCCCTGGTGGATGCATTTTTCAGGTACTGATCTCACAATTACTGCCAACCCGGTATCAGCCAATGCAGTGAAGGAGGCGGCCAGCAGGCCTGGCGAACTACAGGTAAATGAGGCTATATTGCTGTTCTTTATAGGAGGTGTCGAAATATATGTTTGATTTCCTCAGCTGAGAAAATAAGTTCCCTGACTACTTCTTGAGAATTTACATATTTCTTAGAGTAGAAGTGTACAAAAACCAACAAGAATTTTCCAAAATTTTCTCAGAATTTCCATTTTTCACCAGAATTTGTATACTGGTTTCTGGGAGAAATGCTGGGGAATCTTTGGATTGGGCCTGATTTGTATCTTTTTGTGTTGAACCTCGCTGCCTCCTCTTCAGTCGGGATCACTACCAAGCATAGTAGCGGACACGACACCAACAGGGCAGACATGGAAGGATCACGGTGATGGTCATATAGCCATCGATAAGTCCAGTCTGGAGGCTCATAGTGGCCAAGGGGAAGTGGTGTATGTATCGGTTACTCCACCAACTGGATGGCATGAAAATTCAGAGATGCCCTTCGAGCTCACAGTCACTACCAGTAAGTCGGTGGCTGATGATGCTTGTTGTTGTTTATGTTGTTGTTGTTGTTGTTGTTGTTGTTGTTGTTGTTGTTGTTGTTGTTGTTGTTGTTATTGTTGTTGTTGTTGTTGCTGTTGCTGTTGCTGTAGCATGGTTGGATTGTGAGTAGGTAGCACCGTGAGAGACCTTCAGGACGGCAAGCCGACTACTGTAACCATCAGCGACTCGCGGAAGTTCCGTGATTTCCGGTAACAATATATAGTGGGGTCATCAGCAGTTGCTTGTGACTGGGCAGTGTGGGAAAATATGAACTTGGCCAACTACATGTGTTGGTGGCAATACGAGAATTCTGAGGACAATTCTCATCGGTTTTTTCACACTTCTACTCCACTTTGTATGTAAACTTGTTTAATTGGCGAGGAAAATATGTACTGAACTCAGCTGAGGAAGGCGGACATAGCATGTATATTTGAACGCTTGTTGTGGTCCTTGAGAAATATGTTTTGACGGTTTTAGATACTGGGTGCCCAAGCATGCTAGGATTGTGCTCTCTATAGTGGGAGATTCGTCGAGAGATGGTAGCGGTCTGGCGATATTCGCAGACACCACCAGATATAGTCACGACCCTAGAGGGTAGTAGTAATCTTGCAATCTTGCAATTCCTCAACGCAGGGTTGGATGGCAGGTACACGTTCAACACTATGGAGGGATCGAATGAGATCTTTCTTACTAATATGAAGTACTATGCACAGGCTCATCCTGGCAAGGTGAGGGGGAGGGGGGGTTGTAGTTGTGAAGTGAAGGAAGTGTGGTATGGCAGGTGCAATATATTAATTGCGATATGGGATATATATACCTCACGGTGAAGAGCTGTGCTGTTGCTAACGGCAAATGCGTGGAGGATGCCTCTGTCCCGTCTACATTCACTTTGACAGTGTCCAGCGATTCAGGTAGTGATAGTCGGTGTTGGAAAATATGCACATGGGCGACCACATGTGTTGGTGACGATATGGAATTTCTGAGGAAATTTTGCAAAATTCTTGTTGGTGTCTGTGAACTCTTATCCGACTTCGCATATAAGTTTGTGTGGGAAATTTTGGAGCTCAGTTGAGGAAAGCGATCATACTTTCATATACGGAGTTGAATGGTGATGATGATGATGCTGTTGTGTGCTAGGATCGACACACGTACAGGATGGTGTGCCAATACACGAGAAGGTTCATATGGCGAAGAAGTTTGTATATACGAATCCTATGTTGGATAAGAGTGGGAAGAAAAAGAAGGAAGAAGGGGAGAATAATGGAGATGTGGTATAAGGGGGAGGCGCTGGGGATCGAACTCGGGACCTTTGGGAGGGCGGTAGAGGTTGTCGCAGCAAACTCTTGCTTTTGGAGCAGACCTCGATATCGGAATATTACATGTATTGTAGGCATGTAAATAGGTTCGCTTTCCGGGAATCGAACCTAGGACCTTTCCCTTGTTAGGATAACACTGAGACTGACTCATCTGAGGCGTCTTCGATACATTTCAATGATCTGTTGGTGAAGGCGGCAGTGAATGGTGGCAGGGGTTCGCTGATGCTGAGCAATGATGAGAATTTCGCGACAAGTACGAACGTCTGAGCTGGGAATCGAACCCGGGTCGAGGGATGGTTCGTCTTAGGCACACAGGCGGTATTTTGCGGCTATGATGACGCTGGTGATACGAAGGCTGATGGTGGGAATATTTGTACTTTTGTTATCAAGAAGAATGATCCTATTCGAAGCAGCAAATACATATACGCCAAAATGGTAGTAGAAAACGGCACAGTCTTTTCTAGGATGGGAAAAATTCAATGCTTTAGTTTTTTTTACGATACCACGGTTCGATGTGGAACTATATACGAGAGAAGTAGTTTATTAAAGTGATATTGGGGTTGTATCTTTTTGTCCTGTAAGTGAAGTTTGTGACGCCTTGTATAGCGAGATCGACTTATGATGAATTGTCTGACATGGGGTGAACAGTATTGTTTGTATTAGATGATAGTGTATGCAGTGTAATCATAGTTTGTCGTGGGAGTTGAGATTGGTGTGGTAGATACCGGACCTGACGGATAGCACGGGCACTGCGTTGTTGGACTTTGACTTTTTGATGGCGGATATGGGCGGCGAGATTGTTATGAAGAATCATCAACCGATGAATGATGCTATGCCGTCTTCTGGAGGGAGTAGAAAATATAAGATATTTATACCGGCTTCTACATCGAGGTGGGTATCTTAGGTTGAGGTTGGCAAGATACGGAATAGGTCCGATTTGGGCCTAATGGTGTTTTCTCAGTTCATCGAGTGCGCCGTCGCCTGTGTCTGCTATGTTTGATGTGTCGAAGACGACGGGCACGGTGGAGTTCGAGATTTGCGATGCCGGCGAGTAATAAAAGTATCTTCGCTGGGATTCGAACCGGGGTTGCATGTTTGAGAAGCGCGCGCATTACCTATTGGTCTGTTTAGGAAGTGTAAAACTATCAAGGGTGATGGATCGGCGCAGCTAGAGGAGAATGCTAGCAAGGGAAATGTTGCTGGCAAGTGGATGCACGTAAGTTCTCTACGGGTGTGTCTACCGTTTCTGGAAGGAGGCAATCGTTACTTGGGATTTCCGCAGGAACGCCGTGATCGGTGTTGAAAAATATGCACGTTTACCAGGGGTGTCTTTTTTGTCGAAAGTACCATGAGTTCGCCAGAGTATGACAAGCTAATGCCTTGTCTGAAGGTCACTAGTTAAATTACAAAGTTTCAAAAGGCCGTGTCGAACGATTCGCCTTTTAAAAAGGCGAATATAATTTCCGGGTAATAAAAAGGCCCTTTTTATTACCCGGAAATTATATGGAGTGATTACGTGTGCTGGTGAGAGTATAAAAATTGTGAGGGGATTCTGGATGAATCTTTGTATACTTTTACCCTAAGTCGTGTGTGGATTTTCGTAGAGTAGCGAGGAAACTTCTGAGCTCAGCTGAGGAAAGCAATGAACACTGGAATCGGTAGAATTTTACTGGTATTCAGTGTTATTCGCCGTGATAGGTAGCGGAGTGTTTTATCGTATGGATGATATGAATTGTCACTTTTACGGTATAAAACTGAATTTTTATAATTTTTTGTTATTCGCGGTGACATAATGTTGCACTGATTTGATTCCTTTTCTAGTGAAAGTATATGCTATGTTCTTTTGAGTGATGTGTGTTAGTGTGGAAGAGTTGCTTGCCTTGGGAGAACTCACTGATGGAATCGTCTTGCAGGTTCGGGCGAAGTGCGAGGACAAATGCTCATATCGGCTCACGGGGGCCTTTTTCCTGAAGTCCAATTCGTTGCGACTGAATTATAGACCGATGACAGTTCCGTTGGATGGGGGCAGCTTCAAAGACTGTGAGATCCCGGGTTCGAGCCCCACGGTTGTCATTTTTCCTGTATTTTCAGGGATGGTGGGGTACAAGGATACTGATCACTGGCTACTGCATACGGAGGTTAGAGGGCAGGAGGCTGATGCTGTGAAGACTTGCATAAAGGATCAATGCTGTAAGTACACATGCACTTCTTTTCCCATTCACGTCAGACTGTCAACTGACTGTATCTTTGACGGCTCGATCGGTGTAGAGCTTATTTCTAATTGCCTTGTGGCAAATCATTTTTGGTGGAAACTGAATTTTACACGAAGTCTGAGATGGTAGATTATACGAGTCACCACTGAAACGTTGACTGGCAAATCATTGGTCATAGCACAATAGTTAATAAATGACACAATGCATCTGAATAGAGTTGAGACGGTCATGAGCATCTCATTCGGTAACGGTTTTACGGAAGATGTGTCGGCGCGATCACCACGATGTTACTCACAGAATATACAAGGTGGCTAAATGAAGTGTGGTATTGTATGTGACTTGCAAAATTCAACGAATTCCCCAGTGAGAGATAGCTCATTAGAAAGGTCTTGGCGAGCACTTTTGAAGGGTATCTGATATGTGTGCTTTGGTCGTGTGAATGACAGTGGCCGGTGCTGTTGTCTTCGCTACTGAACCTAATGAGAAAGTGGGATCATATGTACTTGATAGGTACTGCGGGTACTTGTACATTGTATGGATTCGGGAAGGAAATTGCCAAGTTGGAGAATATGAAGAGTGATGCGATTAGCTACGTTCAGCTGTAGTGTAGTTATGCTAGTGGTTATGGTGTATGCGGTGACTGCTAGGTGGGCGACCAAGTTGAGCTCCCCAGTGATGGATGAATGGCTTGACGTCAGCAAGAGAGGCAGTAACATTTATAGGCTCAATACGAACTCCCTGGTATCGTTTGATGCTGAGAAGTCTAGCACGGTAGGGAGGGGGGTATTTGAGGTTGGCGAGTGAGAGATACGGAACGGGGACCCATCCGACTTCCCGGGTTTGATAACAATGGGGAAAATGCTCATAATGTGGTGACAACTTTGTTGGAAATTTGAAAGATGAATTCTCTTTGGAAACATTAGAGGTTCGTAGATGATTCTCCCTGATATGGACGAGATTGGGTGGGTGTCTTTGCTGTAATCTCTTAACTCGAGTTCCGAGTTATGGGAGTAGACTGATAGGTAGAATATCAGGCGTAACGAGCCCAATAACCGAGTTATTGAAATGACAACTAACATGGATATTCGTATTAGGACTGACTGATAATAGGAGGTTCATTTGTGTGTTTCGATTTGTGGGTAATTTAGGAAGTGTGTGATTTCTTGTTGTTATTTAGTTTAGCACGGGGGCGAAGGTGACTGTGGCGGATTCACTTTTCGGAGACTATCAAGTGTTGAGTGGAGAGAACTTGATTGATTGCTCTGGCAATAAGATGAAGTTTGTGAAGGTGGGTGGTTGTGGGAAGAGTAGTGTAGTGGATAGTGTACTGGTAGGTGGAGGGGGCGTCCCGGGTTCGAATCCATGCGCCGTTGAATTTACAAGTCGGCGAGTGGGCGTATAACCCACACTGGGTTATGTGGGGCGGCAGTTCGCTCAAACAGAATGTTCATGTCGAGAGTTGCAACCTTGAGCCGGCTGATGTTCGTGTTA